GATGCAGCCAGCTAGAACAAGATGACTTGAGAACAACTGAGAGCCAAACAGCATCAAAGAACCTCACTTATTCAAGTAGCGCTACAAGAAATCTGTGGGCAAAGCAGTTGTGCATGTCTTTTAAATGCCGTTTGCATGTGTTTTGTATGTCTTTTGCATTCTTTTGCGATGCCTTTTGCGTGTCCGTTGCATGTGTTAGTGTTGCATTCAATGGATTGGGGCTCAAAAGCAATAATATTGACAGCCAACAAGTGAGTCTCGGCCAGCTGGCACAATGTTGCTTGTTGAGATACTACTTCGAAGTTTCAAAGCCTGCCGAGACAAGACAGTCAGGGATGCTCGCGCGTTTGCCTAATCAGAAGTCGAACATTTGGAACGTAATTCACGGCACCCTTGCCGATCACACCTACCTGGAAAGCGAGAAGAATTACTTTATGAAAAGGTGTGGTCATCACATATCTTCTAATTCCCAGAAGACAAGTTGAAGACATGGAATTCTGAGATGTTGTCCACTGGCACAGCCGACACAGCTTCAGCCTTTTCAAAGCCTTCATTCTCCAATGCCTCTGGTGGACCAACCCACACCATTACAGTGCTCGGTCAAGAGGCATTCCCACAATGGGTCATCAAAGTCCACGATAGACCAGGTTTTAGAAGCAATTATGATGAATATATAATATAAATTACTGTAATATACTATACTGTATTATACTGTGTATCATAACCAACGAAGAGTATTTTATGGTATTATTGTAATGGCTCAATCGGTCACTGCATGTCGAAGGTAAGGAGGTGATGAGTTTCAAGCTTCCCCACCTCAACGCCAAGTCTCCCTATTTCACCACCAGCATTAGCATCATTAGCATGCGTTAGCCGTGAATTCTGATGAAGACAGCTGTTTCTGAAGATCTTCAGCCAAAGGATGCCCAAAGGTGTTTTTTATCCACAGCCATCTCAACCGGCAGGTGCCTTGATTTGATCCACTGATGCTGTCAATGCAAAGTGGACCTGGCCGAACTGCATCCGACATGAAATGCATTGAAACACCATCACTGGGATTGACATGATTCACACCGTTCACGAACCAAATTGCAATGATCTTTCGAGCAGTTGCCAAGTTCATGTCAGGAAGACAGCGTTTTCCTGAGATGGGAGAACAGTAGCACACTCATGCACCAACATGCACCAACCATGTTCCAGGACTGCCGCTTCAATTCCAGGGGTGTTGGAAGGGGAAAAACATTTAGGAAGAGGATCCTGGTCACTAGAAAGTTTGGCAGCTTTCCTTGGCCAAGACTCAAAGATTCCCCATAGCCGCTAGAAACTCCACGCGAACACCAGAGTGCTGGTGTCTATTTGGTAATGTAACTGACCAGTTCACAAACTCGCCTTTCTCACAGGTTCAGGACAAACCCAACGGATTGACTACTGAGTTCAGGTATATTGCCAGCAGTTGCCAACAAGCAACTGTGTGGTACTCCTTGAAGTCGTCAATTTTACCCCGAGCGCCATCACCCTCAGCCTGAAAACAATCATTTGCTCGGCATATCGAGCGTGAGCGGCGCACGAAATGCATGTATGCAATGCCCATTTCGAGGTGCGAGCAAACAGAGCCACCAGCCTCGGTCATCTTGCTCAGAAATTCTTTGTAGTCCTTGGTTCGGCATCCCTGACAAATGCCTACTATGCAATGGTCAAGACGACCGGTTTGATTCTCCTTGTATCGTTTCCTGTCGACATCTCTGAAGGGGCTGTTTGAATGTGCTTGAAGGGCCGGCAGTTTCAGACATCAGACAAACTTTGCTCCTGTGGATGATTTGAGGATCCATCCTGCGTCCATTTCTTGATTGGCAGTTCAGTGATGTCAATCTGATTGTTGGAGATCTTCTTGACAACACCAGCGACCTGCTCTGGGCCAAGCATCCTACCAAATGCTTGAACCACCAGGATTCTTATCCACGATCAAATTCATGGGATTGACATGGATTACATATGAATTAAGGGCAAATCAATGCAAATCATTTCAAATCATTTCAAATCATTGATTCTGACTGACTGATTGATGACGGATTGATTCATGATCTTCTAGTTGAATTGTGTTGAATTGCTCTCTTTCATGCTCCCTCTTCAAGAACTCGCTGCTCAGGCCTCGAAACCACCTTTCTCCGTGTCCGTGTTCGGAGCGATGCTGCCCTTGGAAGGTTCGAAACTGTCCACGAGGATTCACCAGGCTTCAAGAATTCCGTAACCATCTATTTAAAACTATTTAAATGTTTCATAATGTGTCATAATGTTTCCATTTTATTTCCTTCATATTGGTCTTTGATTGCAGTATTTTGCAGGCCCACTGTACAAGTACCGACCTGAATTCCTCACATCTTGACACAATCTTCTCTGTCGTCGATTGTTGCCTCCCCACAAGACTTTATAGCTTTCATTCATTCCATTCATTCATAACCTTCACAAGTTGACAACATCTCCCCACCCTGACCCTACCAGTGACTGTCAAGGGTTTCATGTCCCAACATGGCCTTGAATCCGCGATACCACGGACAAAGACCGTTGGAGCCTCATGCAATTGGTATGCGAAAAGAATCGAAAAGATGTTGCGGATCGCAGCGCTACTATCAAGGATCAGAGAAAAGATAGACCGTCTTCGACCGTCTTCCCATGAATTCCACCTTTCTGCCCCTTTCATCCATCACTCGGCCCACCATGTTCAACCTATTTCAACCTTCTCTTTTGACTGGTGTTTTTGCTAAACACGATAGTTATTGAAATTATTTGAAATTCATCTTTGAGCAGTCGTGTCACGGTCTGATTTGCAGCTTTAAAAGAGTCCTCATAAAAAGAGAGGCGTAAGTCTCTACATATTGTATTCTTGATGTTGTGCTGCACAGCAAAGCTTGGAATTGGGCTCAGCTTTTCCTTCTTGATGAGCTTCCGCAGCCTCAAATGCATCTCTATCCGTTCCATTCATACCAACCTACAGCGGTTACTATACAGCAAATGAATCTACAAAATCAATTCAAATGCCTACTGTGTTCGTTCCTTTGTAGTCTTTTCATTTAGAATTTGATCCACAAATGACCACACGTTCAATTGAATTGCAAAGTCTGCAAAGGCAAGACTAAAAGCGGATGGGGTAAACTGGATGAACTCGGGAGTCAACATGGCGATGATGTCCCTGGCCAAGGATTGTGAGAGATTCTCACCAGGCTCTCTGTCATTGTCTCCAAACAGCCTACATCAGCCTACATCAGCCTAATACTCTCTATATCGCACCTGGGATTGTGGTTTGGCAAAGAGGTGGACCATCCAGTGCCAATTCCATCAGCTCCATTCACGAGTGCCTCACACGCTTCGTTCAGGTTCGTTCAGGTTGATGATCTGATCGCGGATCTTTGATGCCACAAAGGGGCTCTGTTTATATCCGACCAGGAGAAACAGAAATAGGCTAGATTTATGGATTTATGGAGTGTGGGTTCATTCTTGTTCAGATCCAATTCTTGACCCTTGATGCGGTTGATAGCTCTGCTGGACTCTATTCGTTCCCTGAGGCCGTCACAACTGGAATCACCGGAATGTACCATTTCCTGAGCCAACCCCGAAGTTTGGACAGACACTTTGTGAAGGCAATATGAGGCAATCATTGTCTTTCACCCACGCCTCTGTTTGCAAGCAAGACGTCGTGATATTTTATGATCACATCCAAACATATCCAAACAGAATTCTTCCCTTGTGTAAGTGTTGTCAAATGAGTCAAATGTTGACAAGTACACTGGGTCGCCGCAGATTCCACGAGATCCACTGTGGAATCAAACCGGGCACGAAATGCGAGGTGCCAAGGCGCGGCTCGATGGTCTGCCCCTCCTCATTTTGAAACTCCAAGAGCGGATCCTAAGATCACCAGCAACCCAACAACGACGACGACAACAACAACAAGAAGAAGAAGAAGAAGCATCCAAATGAATCCAAATGAATCCAAATGAGGTATATTATAAAACTAATAAATATTTTATATATATATATAGTGACATAGAGTGACATAGGGCGGCAGGTACTTTGATGTACTTTGCCTCTGCCTTGACTTGGGGAGCAGTCCAAGATGATCAAGATGTACTAGTCCCGCATGAGCTCCGGATACCTACCGTATACTGCCATGCGCTGATTGGTTCAATCAACAACCTTGGAACGGATCTAAAGGTCATCGTGCAGGCTCTGGAAGCTGCAGCGGTCTTGTCAAACCGAGTGTCATCAGCAGGATGGAAGATTGTCCGAGTGATTCGCCTCAAAAGGTCAGGAGTGAAACCAGCCAGTGTGTTTGCAAAGAATGACAGGGCAACAGGTCTGCTCCTACTGAGGAGTGCAAACAAAAGACCAACAAATACATTTACAAGTCGCTGCACTGGTGTGCTGAAAATGACAAAAAGATACAAAAAGAATCTAGAAAGAGTTTGGGACTCTAGGACAGAAAACGGCCACAAAGGGTCGAAAAGGAGCATGTCTGTGTAGAAAAGAATAGAAGAGAGAGAGGGAGCGTCGCCGGGGTTCCACGTCGCAAAATGTGTTGCTTGTCTTTGGCACTCCTTTTTCCAAAGGGGTTGCTGGAAGCCGCGGAGGCGTTCCAACCGGAATGGCGACAACACGTGTCGTCGCTGTGCATCTTCTGTCAGTGCATTAACTCAGCGGCAATTCATTGGCTAATTTGGCTAGAACATGCAGGCATTCACTGGTGGAAATCTTGCCTGCTGTAAGCCAGTGACCCTTTGGGGAGCTTGCAAGACAAGACTCACCCTGGGTGCGTTTCTCTTGTCTATCCTCTGGCCGGGTAGGGCCATGAAAAAACAGAAATCATGTCTTGATGTAGCTCTTGCTTCCCAAATCTTCTCAAGCAAGTTTTACCTTTACTGCCCTTATTAAAATCAGATTTGCTCATTGTGTTTTTGTAGCTTGTGGAAATATGTTGAAATCCAATTTGAAATCCTTCACAAACTGGCGCCGTCTTTGGGCAATGTGAGATCGCCTGCCATCGCCTCATTCCGCCTCTCAGCAGCTTCTGGCTTCGGTTTATTTGGAATCCACAAGCTCCTTAGGCCATCGGATATCGTCCATCTGGGGCGAAGAATAGGAACTGAAATGAACTGAATCGAGGATGCGGTGACTATTGTCCACTATTGTCGAACCTTTTTCATCTTTGGAAATTTGGCTCAAATCAACCCTATGCCTGTACGACCTCAGAGTATGCAGGCACGTTGATCAACTCGGCTTTTGCAGGACAGCAAAGGGATGGCAAGAGTTAAAGAGTGCAAACCTCCGAGCTTTGCCAAGCAAGATTCCTCAATGTCCCACACTTGCTACCACCATCTACTATCACTTAATATATTCATAATATACACTTATATAATATATATATATATTCCAACAGTCGAATTGAACGCCAAGGATCATATTCAGTTGCAGAGAGGTCGTTTTTTTGGTTGACTTCTCCGACATCATGCTCCTGTCGCCGCTGGACCCGTGTCAAACCATCGGTGGACAATGCTCGCCGCCCATGGCCAGCCACGTGGCAGCTGGGTCAGACCTCCTCTTTTAAAGCGGCCCACTTGTCCGCCAACACGTGCATGTGGCCTGTTGCATCTACATCTACAGGCCTGCTGGTACATCTCTCTTCTACCACTGTTGAATCAAATAGAAAAATGTCTTGAGCTTGAAAGCGAATTTGCGGATCCAGAATGTTTATAAGAGTGTTCAGTCTTCAAGTCTCGTTTGTCTATTCACGGGCCTTTACTCATGACAACTCGAGCATTTTGCACCCGGACAACCTGGGATCAGAAAATATAACATGCCTTGAACAGTCTGAAAGGATCTTATGCATCAGGATGCATCAGGATGCATCAGGATGCATCATGAATCTATTTGTTGATTCAAACCGCTGGCTGTCTCCACTGGAAGGTTGAGACAACTCTCAGAGGCCTACCTTGCCCTCGCTGCAGGCCTTGTGTTTGTCACCACCTGGCAGTTTGGTTGCCACCGATACGGCGGCAGAAGTATGCAAATGTGGGGCAGACGCTTTCATCAGTGCAACAGAAAGCCAATGAGAGAATGGAGCAATTCCGCAAACGATAAACGGCAGACTTCCGGTGTGTTTGGCTTCGGCCCGTTTCCCTGCTGCATTGTACATCACAATGATTCTGAGTATATCTGACCAAGATCATGTTGTGCCTCCAGACTGGAAACGGCATTCTAGGTTCAAACAAAGCGTTGCAGGAAGAAAACGTGCTGGGAGCCCAGCGCATTCTCAAAGTCACTATACCAGAGGAATCGCCGATGACAACTTGATGTGCATCCTTCCGGTAGGCACTGACACCAACTATTGCATACTATTGCAAGCGACTGAAAGTGCCAAAGTTAGCAAAGTTGCTGTGGCTCTCCTCATACAGGTTCTCCGGCACCGAAAGGACTTTGTCATAGACATTGACGCCTTTCGTGCCCATGGGTGCACGTGGGGGTAGAAGGCTGCAGCATCGAACTATATCGAACTTTTGCGCCCGACTACGTGCAAGCACAGCTGCAAGTTCGATCCTCGCCTTTTGCTTCTGGTTCTAAGCTTGAAATCTGTGCAAACTTCGGCTTCTTCAGCTTGATGGGAGGATTCTGACCACGACCCGCAAGTGATCCGTTCAAAAAAGTTGTACAGAACTGTAGGATGCTGTGGGAAGTTCTACCCCGTGTATCCATTTGATTCCAATATCTGTGCTGAAACCAAAGACCCCTAAGAAGTACTTTGGGACCCTTAAGAAGTCACTTCTTACACATTGCAAAAGCTGCACTCTGTCTGCAATGACCGGCAATGGCAACAGAGAACATATAGAACATATTGAAAAATATGTGTTTCAAGGAATTTCAATTAATCAATTTCAAGGAGACCCTGGTCAGGAGCAGGCTATTGTGGCTTGAGGGTCAGAAGAGTTGTACAGTACCGAGCTCTCCACAGCCGCCGCCTCTAGATCTGCTGTTCTCAGAAGAGCTTCAATCCCTTCGCCCTGCCAAAGTACCGTTCACATCTTGGGCCTGTTCCTTGCGCTTGTTCCAGAGGCCATGCGACTGTCACTTATGAACAACTTATGCCTCAAGACATCTTACACTCTTGCGGGTTTGACCAAGAGGAACGAGAAGCCAAATGCTTCCTTCCTCCTAACGATTCAAATTAGAATCCCTTTCCATAGCATTCAATAACTATGTTTTTAGGATCCTGTCGCCCATGCCTTCAAGAGTTGCAAAGATTCTGTGAGGACTTCCGCGACCACGTCCCTTGCAGCCTGGAGGATGGGAGGATGTGCCACTACGCTCAGCGAATCCTATCTGTTTCGCCATCAATTTGTCCAGGATAGCCTAAGAACATGCATCCTGTTGTGTTTCTATGCACGTCTCTGTTGTATTCTGTTGTACTTGTACTGTCTAATATCGTACAGTAAAATACAGTAAATACGATGCCAACATTAACGAGAGATTTATGGGATTCCTTTTCAGTTGGCTGTCAAGCTAAACGGAGCTACCTAGACCCTCACTTTACCCCAATTTTCTTGGTACTTTTATGTACTTTTACCATCTTTCACCCAATCTTACCCGGTTCTTGCCCAACCTTAGCGACGTTTATGGCTACTTTCAGGGTCAAGGTATATAATCCGCCGACCCCTGCAGGGGGGAGTGCGCCAGAGAAGCCGGGGCTTTGCGAATTTGCTTGTTGCAATCTTTCTTCCCGATCTTTATGTTTCTCTGCAGTCTCTGGGGCCCTTGGGGGTCCACAGGATCTGGAGGATCTGGAGTCTCTGGGGCCCAGTGTCACTTGCTGCACTCTTTCTTCCTATCTCTTTATGCATTCCTTAGGTGACGTTTGGCATCTTGGCTGTGAGGATCTGGAGTCTCTGCAGGTTCTGGGTCCCTGCTATCTTTATGCATTCCTTAGGTGACGTTTGGCATCTTGGCTCTGAGGATCTGGAGTCTCTGCCTGGGTCCCTGCTCTGCAGGATCTGGAGTCTCTGGGGCCCTTGGGGGCCCACAGTCTCACTCGCTGCACTCTTTCTTCCTATCTTTATGCTTTCCTTGGGTGACGTTTGGCATCTTGGCTCTGAGGATCTGGAGTCTCTGCAGGTTCTGGGTCCCTGCTATCTTTATGCATTCCTTAGGGCAGTCTCTGGGGCCCTTGGGGGTCCCCAGTGTCACTTGCTGCAAGGATCTGGGGTCTCTGCAGGTTCTGGGTCCCTGCTCTGCAGGATCTGGAGGATCTGGAGTCTCTGGGGCCCAGTGTCACTTGCTGCACTCTTTCTTCCTATCTTTATGCATTCCTTAGGTGACGTTTGGCATCTTGGCTCTGAGGATCTGGAGTGTCTGCAGGTTCTGGGTCCCTGCTATCTTTATGCATTCCTTAGGTGACGTTTGGCATCTTGGCTCTGAGGATCTGGAGTCTCTGTCTGGGTCCCTGCTCTGCAGGATCTGGAGGATCTGGAGTCTCTGGGGCCCAGTGTCACTTGCTGCACTCTTTCTTCCTATCTTTATGCATTCCTTTGGTGACGTTTGGCATCTTGGCTCTGAAGATCTGGAGTCTCTGCAGGTTCTGGGTCCCTGCTATCTTTCTGCATTCCTTAGGTCAGTCTCTGGGGCCCTTGGGGGTCCACAGTGTCACTTGCTGCAAGGATCTGGGGTCTCTGCAGGTTCTGGGTCCCTGCTCTGCAGGATCTGGAGGATCTGGAGTCTCTGGGGCCCAGTGTCACTCGCTGCACTCTTTCTTCCTATCTTTATGCATTCCTTAGGGCAGTCTCTGGGGCCCTTGGGGGTCCACAGTGTCACTTGCTGCAAGGATCTGGGGTCTCTGCAGGTTCTGGGTCCCTGCTCTGAGGATCTGGAGGATCTGGAGTCTCTGGGGCCCAGTGTCACTTGCTGCACTCTTTCTTCCTATCTCTTTATGCATTCCTTAGGTGACGTTTGGCATCTTGGCTCTGAGGATCTGGGGTCTCTGCAGGTTCTGGGTCCCTGCTATCTTTATGCATTCCTTAGGTGACGTTTGGCATCTTGGCTCTGAGGATCTGGAGTCTCTGCCTGGGTCCCTGCTCTGCAGGATCTGGAGTCTCTGGGGCCCTTGGGGGCCCACAGTCTCACTCGCTGCACTCTTTCTTCCTATCTTTCTGCTTTCCTTAGGTGACGTTTGGCATCTTGGCTCTGAAGATCTGGAGTCTCTGCAGGTTCTGGGTCCCTGCTATCTTTCTGCATTCCTTAGGGCAGTCTCTGGGGCCCTTGAGGGTCCACAGTGTCACTTGCTGCAAGGATCTGGGGTCTCTGCAGGTTCTGGATCCCTGCTCTGCAGGATCTGGAGGATCTGGAGTCTCTGGGGCCCAGTGTCACTTGCTGCACTCTTTCTTCCTATCTCTTTATGCATTCCTTAGGTGACGTTTGGCATCTTGGCTCTGAGGATCTGGAGTCTCTGCAGGTTCTGGGTCCCTGCTATCTTTATGCATTCCTTAGGTGACGTTTGGCATCTTGGCTCTGAGGATCTGGAGTCTCTGTCTGGGTCCCTGCTCTGCAGGATCTGGGGGATCTGGAGTCTCTGGGGCCCAGTGTCACTTGCTGCACTCTTTCTTCCTATCTTTATGCATTCCTTTGGTGACGTTTGGCATCTTGGCTCTGAGGATCTGGAGTCTCTGCAGGTTCTGGGTCCCTGCTATCTTTCTGCATTCCTTAGGTCAGTCTCTCGGGCCCTTGGGGGTCCACAGTGTCACTTGCTGCAAGGATCTGGGGTCTCTGCAGGTTCTGGGTCCCTGCTCTGCAGGATCTGGAGGATCTGGAGTCTCTGGGGCCCAGTGTCACTTGCTGCACTCTTTCTTCCTATCTTTATGCATTCCTTAGGGCAGTCTCTGGGGCCCTTGGGGGTCCACAGTGTCACTTGCTGCAAGGATCTGGGGTCTCTGCAGGTTCTGGGTCCCTGCTCTGCAGGATGGGGGCCCACAGTCTCACTCGCTGCACTCTTTCTTCCTATCTTTATGCTTTCCTTAGGTGACGTTTGGCATCTTGGCTCTGAAGATCTGGAGTCTCTGCAGGTTCTGGGTCCCTGCTATCTTTCTGCATTCCTTAGGGCAGTCTCTGGGGCCCTTGGGGGTCCACAGTGTCACTTGCTGCAAGGATTTCTTCCCGATCTTTGTTTCTCTGCAGTCTCTGGGGCCCTTGGGGGTCCACAGGATCTGGAGGATCTGGAGTCTCTGGGGCCCAGTGTCACTTGCTGCACTCTTTCTTCCTATCTCTTTATGCATTCCTTAGGTGGCGTTTGGCATCTTGGCTCTGAGGATCTGGAGTCTCTGCAGGTTCTGGGTCCCTGCTATCTTTATGCATTCCTTAGGTGACGTTTGGCATCTTGGCTCTGAGGATCTGGAGTCTCTGTCTGGGTCCCTGCTCTGCAGGATCTGGAGGATCTGGAGTCTCTGGGGCCCAGTGTCACTTGCTGCACTATTTCTTCCTATCTTTATGCATTCCTTTGGTGACGTTTGGCATCTTGGCTCTGAGGATCTGGGGTCTCTGCAGGTTCTGGGTCCCTGCTATCTTTCTGCATTCCTTAGGTCAGTCTCTGGTGCCCTTGGGGGTCCACAGTGTCACTTGCTGCAAGGATCTGGGGTCTCTGCAGGTTCTGGGTCCCTGCTCTGCAGGATCTGGAGGATCTGGAGTCTCTGGGGCCCAGTGTCACTTGCTGCACTCTTTCTTCCTATCTTTATGCATTCCTTAGGGCAGTCTCTGGGGCCCTTGGGGGTCCACAGTGTCACTTGCTGCAAGGATCTGGGGTCTCTGCAGGTTCTGGGTCCCTGCTCTGCAGGATCTGGAGGATCTGGAGTCTCTGGGGCCCAGCGTCACTTGCTGCACTCTTTCTTCCTATCTTTATGCATTCCTTAGGTGACGTTTGGCATCTTGGCTCTGAGGATCTGGGGTCTCTGCAGGTTCTGGGTCCCTGCTATCTTTATGCATTCCTTAGGTGACGTTTGGCATCTTGGCTCTGAGGATCTGGAGTCTCTGCCTGAGTCCCTGCTCTGCAGGATCTGGAGGATCTGGAGTCTCTGGGGCCCTTGGGGGCCCACAGTCTCACTCGCTGCACTCTTTCTTCCTATCTTTCTGCTTTCCTCAGGTGACGTTTGGCATCTTGGCTCTGAAGATCTGGAGTCTCTGCAGGTTCTGGGTCCCTGCTATCTTTCTGCCTTCCTTAGGGCAGTCTCTGGGGCCCTTGGGGGTCCACAGTGTCACTTGCTGCAAGGATCTGGGGTCTCTGCAGGTTCTGGGTCCCTGCTCTGCAGGATCTGGAGGATCTGGAGTCTCTGGGGCCCAGTGTCACTTGCTGCACTCTTTCTTCCTATCTTTATGCATTCCTTAGGTGACGTTTGGCATCTTGGCTCTGAGGATCTGGAGTCTCTGCAGGTTCTGGGTCCCTGCTATCTTTATGCATTCCTTAGGTGACGTTTGGCATCTTGGCTCTGAGGATCTGGAGTCTCTGCCTGGGTTCCTGCTCTGCAGGATCTGGAGGATCTGGAGTCTCTGGGGCCCAGTGTCACTTGCTGCACTCTTTCTTCCTATCTTTATGCATTCCTTTGGTGACGTTTGGCATCTTGGCTCTGAGGATCTGGAGTCTCTGCAGGTTCTGGGTCCCTGCTATCTTTCTGCATTCCTTAGGGCAGTCTCTGGGGCCCTTGGGGGTCCACAGTGTCACTTGCTGCAAGGATCTGGGGTCTCTGCAGGTTCTGGGTCCCTGCTCTGCAGGATCTGGAGGATCTGGCGTCTCTGGGGCCCAGTGTCACTTGCTGCACTCTTTCTTCCTATCTTTATGCATTCCTTAGGGCAGTCTCTGGGGCCCTTGGGGGTCCACAGTGTCACTTGCTGCAAGGATCTGGGGTCTCTGCAGGTTCTGGGTCCCTGCTCTGCAGGATCTGGAGGATCTGGAGTCTCTGGGGCCCAGTGTCACTTGCTGCATTCTTTCTTCCTATCTTTATGCATTCCTTAGGTGACGTTTGGCATCTTGGCTCTGAGGGTCTGGAGTCTCTGCAGGTTCTGGGTCCCTGCTATCTTTATGCATTCCTTAGGTGACGTTTGGCATCTTGGCTCTGAGGATCTGGAGTCTCTGCCTGGGTCCCTGCTCTGCAGGATCTGGAGTCTCTGGGGCCCTTGGGGGCCCACAGTCTCACTCGCTGCACTCTTTCTTCCTATCTTTATGCTTTCCTTAGGTGACGTTTGGCATCTTGGCTCTGAAGATCTGGAGTCTCTGCAGGTTCTGGGTCCCTGCTATCTTTCTGCATT